AATATATATATATATATATATATATATATATATATATATACACACACACACACACACACACACACACACACATATATATATATATATATATATATATATGCGGGTTCATATAATTTAGTGTCAGTTGCCATTGTATTGTTTCAGCGCCGTACATCATTAAACCCCCACTGAATAATGACACCGGATAATCCAGTGAGAGCGTCAGACTTGATGGAAATCGCAGCTGCTTTCTTTCCGAGCAAAAAAGCTGTCGCGAACTCTATCAGGCTCCGTAAACAAGGAGGATATTATTACGGTATATAAATTTTTAAATATCACATGTTGCATTAATGCAATATCATAAAGTAAAAGTGTAGTAGCACTGATTAAAAGAATATGCAAAATATCAGTATTTCAAATTAACTTTTAATAAAATAAAATAAATTATATTAATGCATCTAAAAGCACTCATAACGTCGATACGATCGTAACGTGAAATATGATATTGTCAAGCTTTAAAAATTAAATATTTAAAAAACTTTTTTCAAACGGAATTATGCAAGTAAAATTTTACTTTTACGATTCAGTTTGAGATTTTGAATGTATATGCGTCTAATCATACGTATAAATCTATAACAAGGTACTTCTTTTGATTGCAAGGTAGACAACGTGAATTGAACATAAAACAATTGAGCCTGAAAACTATCACGATACAATCCATCCATAATAAATTACATTAAATTATAATAATTAAATTATATTAAAATTAAAATAAATTATATTTTATCTGATTTAAAAAAATAATTTTTCTTTTTTTCTCATATATGCAAGAAATTTGACTCTCTTAAAGTTAATATTAAAATTAAAATCGCCTCATTCTGCATCCTGTACGTGAGTCGTTCATGCGCTTAATTACAGTCTTTAATTACGGAGACAGGAAGCGCGTAAGATCAATCGTTCGTAAAACTGGTATTAAAATCATTAAATATTCTTATTAAGTTCCAGTTTTCTTTTAATTAAAAGATTCGATTGCATAACGTATGTGCTTCCAAGGCGAAACGAAAGACTGTTTACTACTTCGGTCCCATTTATGAGATATTGATATGAGCCTGCGTGATTTACGCAGTGAGGCTTAAGTCTGACGTTAATGCGAAGCTTACCAACGAGACAGATCGCTGCTGGAGCTTGAGACCCAGATCCTCTTTTTCGTCCCCGCAGTCGGTCGTATAGAATAACACGCTCTTCTTAGATCCCCTGAAATCAACCCTCGTTAGTGTCTCCGTCGGACGGGAAGAGACGCGGGCTGGGGTCTTGTGCCTTTAGCTTTAAGCCCACTTTACGAGACAGGAACGCGAGCTAGAATTCCGCGGCATAATCTGATTAGGCCGAGGACCATAATTCGATCGATAATTTGATCTCGGACATCCTCTCATGACTATCGCAACCGACATTATTATGGTAGCCGTGATTTAGAAGAGGTTTCGAGCATATAACGAGCATAGCGGAAACGCGTGGAGAATCCATTATCGCCATATAGCTATTATACAAAATATTATTCGGAATGGAAATACGTGTAACTCCTTATCATCAATAATAATCTTGACATATAGCTCTGATACATTTAGCGCGTTTCCCGGGAACGCTGCTTAATTCTCTCGGCAACTCTTCGAGCGGTACTCTCGAGACCTAAATCGCCGCGAAACCGCAGTTGATAGAAACGGCCGTTTTCGCGACGGTCGTTTTCGAATTATACTCCTCAATTACGAGCTATAAATCAAAGCACGATCAACGCCCGCCCTGTCGCAAGCGATTAAGCTTGCGGGTCGGTGGGTAGCGTGCACTGCTGTCGTGGTATGCACTTATGGTAATCGTACCTGAGCGCCTTCCCATTACGGTTGAAGGGCTGATGTTCGGCGAGCACGGGCGAATCCGTGTAGCACCGGCTCTCGCTCATAGCGACGACTACGGCATCGCAGCTCTTCTCAATCGGCCCGTCACGTTGACATCTGCAAGGAGAGTAGATAGGAGTTATCGATCAAGATTTCACACACGAGACGCGTCGAGATTTCAGAATTTATGATTCGCTATAATCTGAACTGTCCACGCGGAGAGAGAGTATTATATCCCACGCATGATTTTTCAACGACGAATTTCTCAATCGATCCAAAATCGATTTTTTCTTAATAAAAAAAACACACACACACACACACTTCAAAAAATTAGATAAAAATATAGGTTTTGATATAACTTTCTAATATTAATTTTTTAAAATTAATTTTTAGTATGATAATTTACGTGATTTCTCAAGCTCAATCTCTTTCTCGGTTGCTTATGATTCGGAAGCAATCGGCGCCTCGATTTTTGTTTATTCCTGTAATTATCGAGCACGTCTTATAACTATTCTTCTTTATGAGTCTCTGAGAAAAAGAAAAAAAAAGAATGGTTCCGGCCGGGATCGAACTGGCGACCTTCTGCGTGTAAAGCAGACGTGATAACCGCTACACCACGGAACCTCTGGGGAAACTGGGCCTTCGTGAAGAAAGTGCGTTCGGATGCGTGTCGATGGTACGCATAAGACGTACTGATTCCACGCAAAACCTGCGATATCTTCTCCGTCGAGCTCGATTGTTGCACTGCCCACGCAACAATTTCAATCCAACGGCCTCGACTTCGCGCTTCGTCTGAATCTCGATTCCGAGTGTCTCGAGGCGCCACGGCGATCTCTCGCTGTATGTGCAACCCACGTATCTCTTATGTAGATATTTAAATGGGAACTACAAAACTGGGAGTTTTACAAGAGTTATGAAGCTTTTCTGATTAGCTTTTTAATGGTTCATCTTCAGAGAAACAATACCTTCAGTTTTTGAAAATAAATAATTAAATGTATTTTAACAGATAATTCACGCTCAGAATAGAATTCTATTTATAATTTTATGTGATGTGTAATATGAAACATTAACAAAAATATAAACAGAAAGATAAAACATGTAAAATAGAATTTTATTCTAAGAAATTTAATACAAATTTAAGTTGTATAAACTTTACGCGGTAAAAAGTTTTTCCGGATTATTAGCGTTAATGCTTTAATCTTCTTTCAACGAAGAAAGTTAACAAAACAAACGTTTTTATTCTTACTCTAACGTTTAAGGGAAATAAATTCTATATATTTAAGCAGCGTGACGTATGTTGCTTAGACACAATACGAGGAATATCTTTGCGTTCCTCGTAAGGAAAATCCTGGAGCGCGGAGAGACGCCTGTTAGGAAGCACATCGCAGAGATATCATTCTCAACAAGGCCCTACGAAGTATTGATATTCGTAAATGCATTAAGCAACCGTACACAATAGCCGACTAATTTGCATAAGTTATGCGCGAGAAAGTTCATTCCTCCGCCTACGGCGGAAATCTATGGTGTGTACGCACATTTGCGTGTACAGGCGTGAGCACGCGACACGTTGCGTGCACGAGTTGTTTGCAGTCGACGCATAATCAGATGTACCGCGCGATTTTGAAAAAACATCTCAAAAAGGAAAGCAAAACCGGAATTTAACGTATGCGATATGAATTTTGAGAAATTCTCTTCAGAAACTTATCTTAGAAAATAAATTAGACTCAATGCAAAATGAATGGTAGCTTTGTGAAAGAAACGGATGAATTAAAAAAATTTAAGGAAACTTATTTTCAATAAAATAAATAAATATTCAATATTAAGAATTGTTATAAAGATAAAAATTGTCTCTTAATTTATGAACGATTAGATTCTCTAAGAATTGAATGAATGTTGCAAATAATAAGTAAATATATTTTTTGCTAAGAAATTTGAAAATTTGCCTAGATTTGAATTATTTTTACTTTAATAAAATTTTATATATTAATAAATATTATTATATATTAATAAATTTTATATATTAATAAATTTTATATATATATTTATGATTATATATATTTATGATTTAAATATTCAATATTAAAAAGTTAAAAGATGTGTGACGTTGAAATTTTCAAATTTGATCGGAAATTCGCACTTAAAAGAAGAAGCAAGAGCTTATAACTTTTATAAAATTGTATTTTATAATATTTTTTGTTACGTATAGCATATTCACTTTAGCAAAAACTCTTGGAGGATAGAAAACTTTGTAAGAAAATTCTATTAGGAAAACTATCTACACGCGCGCACACAAATACGTTTCATTAAAATTCTATAAGACTTCTTTTCTAGTAAAATTATAAGCCTATTATTATTTCAATTTCTATCAAACGCTCAAATAGAATTAATATAGAAATGTTTTTACGAAACGTAATTAAAAATATTCTTTGATATAAAATTCACCGCAAATCCAAATATTTAACATTCATTCCTTGGAAAATAAAACACACGCCAAAGCTCGTATGAAAAAGCAATGTACCATGTGTTAATACATACGTAATCAATATGATATGTTATAGAATGCAATGCAGATTATAATTCACGAATAAACAACACATGAACAACAATGCCCGAAGTCAAATGTGCTTCTCGTATCGCGCATCATCGATTTCAATTAACAAATTACACAGCGACACAATCAAATTCGCTTACGCAATAGCGATAGAAGCTGTAGGTTTTAATTTAGCTTCGGGTCTTTCGTGCATATTATTGACGAATTATACCTCGTTATCATACCGTGCACATGTATTGATATCGCGTGTGTTCTGAAACTACGGCTAATTGCGAGTGCGTCTGACAAGTCGGCCTTGACCCGCGTATAATGACAAGAATACGCGAGGGAAACATCAATAGAAACACGATAATGATCGTGTGTTACACATCGACGACACGTATGGCTTTATGAGTTTGATCAAGCGTCTGCGACGCGTTTCACGCTGTCGCAGATCCCTTTAAAATAATAACGTTGCCAGCGTTGCAAATAAACGATCCTGCCTGTGATTTTATTCAAATAGAAACAAGCCACGATAAAGGATGAATGCACAACACGTTCATTAAAAA